TAGATTCCGAATTCAGCATGATCCAGGGTCAAGACCAGGGGAAGGGTGTTGTATGTGCTGCGACATGGTTAGCCGCTTCCTGATGCTTCTCAGAATTGCACATTCGATCAAGAACCTGATATTTTTTGTAATGACAGGATAATGCCTGTGGCTCTTGTGCCCCGACCTTGGGATTTCCCCGACCCACCAGATTCAACAGTCCAACCCGATAATCCATCAACAGTGCCCGCCTCTCCTCCGACGGATATTGAACGACCAAGTTCACCCATTCTATTCCCGCCTCTACCAAACACAAACACAAACATGGATCGTAAACCGATTATTAGTGTTGCACCCAATCAAGCACCTCCTATTGACGACACCCCAGTGGTAGCAACGAATGCTATCAAAGATATGCCACAAGTCAAAGTAATCCCTCCCACACCCCCAGCTTTCGAAACTTTGAGAGGAGCTCCGCCGGAGATTGTTGTCGCTGCTGCATAATTAATTGATATATGAGCTTTCGTCACTTCGAGCTTCATCGTATTTCAGTCCTTCCCAAGTTTTTCCGCCACAGTTCTGTGTTCATTTTATCATCATCTTTCTCTTCTCTCTATCCCGGATTTTCCTTTATGAATGACCGTAACGACATTTTAATGATTCCGACTTAATTTCAATTATCTCATACCCAATACCCCTCTTTCAAATTTTGGACTTTTCATACACACACTTTCTTTTGCAATTGTTTGTTTTATTCTCACTATTATGGATTTGTCTCTCGATAATCACGTTTGTTCTTATGGATGTGGATGGATTCTATTTGCATTGTAATGGACACAATATACCACAAGCACTCCGTGACTTCTGCGACTGGCTTCTCGCTGATTTGAATCGTTGAACTTATGGTGAGAAAATGTATTCATGCATACATCCAAAAGATATACATTGACAATGATGTTACAGAAAACGAATCCTAGACCGGCCGGCACGAGGGGTATTTTCAATGATATACAGAATTTCCAGATGCCAATTTATAATTTCAATCTAATGAGACTTAGAGTGATTGAATAGTTACAACCGAGTCAGGCTCTACAATTGATGAAAAGACCAACAACTTGAAGTCAGACGAACGAAAGAAACAAAGTTATCAAACGAAACAACGTACCAATAGCGTCAATTACACGTGCACCCTCTGCGGTGGCTTGAAGTGATCCTAGGATAGAATCTGGGATCGTAGCAACGTATTCCTAATCAAATCAAACAAGTCAACCACAGAACAAGGATAGGTATTATAATAAGGAAAAGAGTCCGAGACCATCGCTGGTTCCAGCTACTGCAATGGGTGCCAGTGAATAATATGTTATTTACCTTCAACTGTTCGAATGTCTTTAGGATCTCTCCACCTAGAGGTAATAAAAAAACGAAAGTATGTTAGTAGATGAATCTAATTCAGCTTTGAAGAGTACACGATTCCGGATGTATGTGTTCCAAGTTCGAGTTTGACTTAGGCTAGTCTACTCACCGGCTGCTTTGATCTCGAGAAGATATTTCTGGATCTCATCCTCTGTGGCTTCCTGGTTGAATGATATGATGTACGCTAGAATTATCATCGTTCGAATTAGAGGGGTTGTTTTGGAGGTGTTACTTTTAAAAGAGACTTAGACTTACAGCGAGACATGATAGTGGCGTTGTGTAAAGGTAGTGTATGCGCAGCGAAAGATTCAAACTGCTGAATATTCGTGGAACCATGTGACGTAGGAGTCCATTACGAGTCTAGACATAAGTCAATGCATATGATGCAACAACCTGAATTTCTTGTACAATGTTTGCGCGCGAGTACAAGTATTAGTAAGGTCAAAGCGATAAAATGTATCTTTATGAATAAAAATCCTACAAAACATAGTACAAAGATAAAACAAGATTGTACAATCCAAATAGAATCAACATGGTATCCTACAGTTGCAGATCGTGGCTTCCAGACATATCTCGTTGTGGTATTTGTTTGTCCATTTAGTGTACAATGAAGTTCCTTCTATGTGATTGAATTAGCATGAGTATTTACTGAGTAGTGACGACACCATCAGCCTCTGCATACGAAGTAATCAGTCAAGAGGCGGATAGCACAAATAATAAGGACTACTCGCCGATGAGATCGATTGGACTGTCGGCCAAGGAAGATTGTTGCTGGAGTTTAAGAAGGTATGCATCGGGGATGGAAGCAGCAAATCCCTGAGTGATTTCAAAGAGTTAGAACAAGCGAGAAAGAACATTCGCGATGTGAAATAAATATATGACCTTTAAAGCGCTATCATATTTCGCAGAGACATTTCCACCTAGAAATCATGAATTTATATGATATTTCCAGTGCTTGCGAAAAAGGACGTACCACTCTGGTTGACTTCTTCGACGTATTTGTCGATCTGGTCTTGGGTCGCAGAGTCCTTGAAGATGACGATGAACTCTGATAAATGGTGAGTATAACCTCGAAAATAAAGCACTGGGAAGACTCACTTCCGGACATGGCTGATGTGTGCTTCTGAGGGTGGATGAAGGGAAGGAGCAAGTTGTATGAGCAGCGCAGTCGAGTAGCCCGCTGAGATGATTGAGTTCGGATAGAGGCATACGGAGAAAGCATTATATAAGCGCCAGATGAAGTCAACCTGCCTAATTTGGCGACTAGGAATGGCCGGAGCCGTATTTGATTTGATGGAGGCGACACGCTCATTTGGAACGCGAGGTGAGCGCACTTCAAATTACCGAACGCGTTGGCCCTTATTCAATAAATTCTCCCCTCCGAGATCACATTTAGTGCTTTTCTCCCTCCCCACTTCATCCTTGGTTTGTTTTTTCTCCAACGTCCTCCTCGCCGTTCTACTTGCCCTGCTAGTCACAGACAACGGTTTGCATGCTAGCTCTCGCAGCAGCACGCTACCAAACATTCGGCTTATTATTTTTGCGATCCCAGATTTCTCAGCGAGTCGCCAATATGCCTACTACTCGTTCAAGAACCAGAGCATCCATGTCCATGGATCAGCTTCTCAACCCAGTTCCAGGTTATGAACCAGGACAAGAACAGCCGTCGCCGTCGCCCCCGACTGCTACCACTAACGGAAACGGCAAGCGAAGGGGAGAAGGTGAACCTTCTTCATCCCGGAAAAAGGCTCGACCGTCGGAGAAAACAACCACGGAAATTACTGCGAACACTGCCGCAGATTTCACTCAGGGAGGGTCTTCCAGTCATCACTACCCCGACGTTGTGTTGCCTGCAATCCACACCGACGGAGAAAATCCTAGAGACTTAGTACCCGCTCAGCTTACTTTTTCGTTTGAATCTGCAAAACGACACCTTATTCGCGTCGACCCGAGGTTTGAGGACATCTTCGACAGACTCAAATGTAAACCGTTCGAACATTTGGAAATGTTTGATCCATTCAGGTGAGTTCAGATGAACGCGGAATGAACATAGGGACCGTTCGCTCAGCATTTGTTGCAGCACACTCGCAAGTTCTATCTTGTGAGTGCTAGACTAACTCCTTGAATTTTCACAATCTCACCGATACTTGAATTATAGAGGGCAACAGATTTCCTGGAAGGCTGCTCGTGCTATCACATATCGTTTTGTTCGACTATTTAATCCGGCCCTTCCAGAAAAATCTGATGACTATAAGTATGTCACATCCTCTGCGGACTAGTCAATTAAAACTCAGGGCTTCATCACCCTTCACAGAATATCAGACTATTTTCCGACGGCCCATCAGGTTGCTAAAATGGACCATGCCGCACTGAAGTCGGCAGGTCTTAGTGGTAAGAAGGCAGAATATGGTTGGTAATACTTGCCTAGTCCCCTCGGAGCGCGTACTCATTTTCAACTAGTCCTGGACCTCGCACAACGATTCGCTGATGGAAGATTAACTACTGAAAGACTTCTCGCCGCCGATGATGAGGGGCTATACGAGCTATTGACTGCTGTTCGTGGTATTGGGAAGGTTCGTATGTTCATCTACTACATCCTGCCCGACATATCCTTATTGTTGAGTTTCTATACAGTGGACAGGTCCGTCATGAACCATTCCCAAATCTCAATTTACATTACGGCCGGAGCTTGACACATAAATCTGCAGTGGATATGTTTGCTATTTTCTCGCTTCGACGACCTGATATTCTTCCTGTCGGTAAGCTTGCTTGGTTTCCTTCTTTTTCCAATATTGGTCTAGGTTTTATTTTACCGTTTACTTCTGCCTCGTTTTTAGGTGACCTTGGCGTGCAACGTGGAATGGTTCGATGGTTCCTTTCTCTTCACTCGCCGACCTACAATATCACTCTATCTCCGGAAAAGCTTCCCAAGGCCGTAGGGGATGATAGAGCTGAAACCCAAGCCAACTCGTCCTCAGGTGCAGGACCCTCACTGGTTCCAATTGCCGCTGGTGCAGGTGTTCCTTCTACTCCAGTTGGAAAAGGTAAAAAGAAAGCTCGAGAGGAGGACGATGTTTTGCCTACACCATTCACACCGTCAATCAACAAGACGTTGAACATGAGGATGAACAAGGACGGAGCGCCGATTAAGAAACCTTTTCCTTTACCTGTTGGCCTCACGGTTACCATGCTCAAGGGTCGTCTTGATGTGAAGAAGAAAATCAAGTGAGTGAATTGACTTTCTTTTTTGGTATGTCCTGATTCGAGACCCTTCTGTGTTGGATGCAGGGGTGCATTTTTAACTCCAAAAGAGATGGAGGATCTGACTATGGCCTGGCGCCCTTACCGTAGTTTAGGTGCGTCAACCTGGTCTTTGATAGACGTAAACGGGGCTGAATCCTTGGTACTAGGTGTATATTATATGTGGGCATTGGCGGAAGATACAAAATCTTGAGATGTCGGATTATGCTGTATTGTGGATGTATTTCTTGAAAATGATCGCTTGATAACATATATTATTCAGAAATCACCTCTCAGTAGAGGAGAAATAATCGTTGTCTGCTTTCAAGCACAACTCAATGCTTTGCTCAACGAAGCCAAAGCAAAAAGGGCCCAACCGGGAATTGAACCCGGGACCACCTGCAAGCTGTCCGGATATCCGGACGGGAATAAACCCGAAGCAGGTATCATACTACTAGACCATTGGGCCTTGTCACAGGTTCGGAAATACCTCTATATACTCAGATGGAGGAATCGGACATTTATGCTTACGCATTTGACATTACGCCGCTTATCTGTACAGTCATTTCCCGGTCTGTAAATATTCAGTAGGTACGAGATACTCCCAGGGGAAGTTCGCCATCTTTGAGGGACATTGCACTATCGTTTCTCGCGTTGAGCTCTGCCTGTTTGTCGTCTGCTGCAGTGGCCGAGTCCGACATGAAGCAGCCAGAAGCAGATCTTCCACTCTATCAGGCGCTTAACGATCATCAAGCAGTAGATGGCCCGAAATCGAAACTAACGCAGCGTTCCCGACGTTTCATCTTACTTGCTCTATTCTCTCTCTGCTACTTTGTCGGCAGTTGTATCTTTGACCACCACCATCATCACATTCGAATTCTATCTCATTCAAATTCAAGAAATCCTGCATATCTCATCAAGGCCAAGCATGGTGCTGTTGCAAGCGAGAATGAAATATGCTCAAATATTGGTGTAAACACTCTCAAGGCAGGCGGGAACGCGGTAGATGCAGCAGTCAGTACTACGTTATGTATCGGTGTTGCCAACATGTTCTCGTAAGTTTTCTTGTCTTATTCTCCAAATATTGATACATTCAATTCCGTTACATCTAAATTGGACAGGTCCGGAATCGGTGGTGGAGGCTTCATGACCATTCGGATACCATCCAAAGAACCCGCTGATTCTTCGCAGGTCTACAATATCGACTTCCGTGAAGTTGCCCCAGCTCTGGCTAACAAGACCATGTATGTCAATGACCCCTCTTCCGCTCGTTTTGGCGGTCTTGGTGTTGGTACTCCAGGAGAGCTACGGGGTCTACAGGAAGCTCACAGGCGATGGGGAAAGCTAGACTGGAAACAGCTCGTCTTACCAAGTGTCGAGTTAGCCAAGGGATGGAAAGTCCCAGTCGAACTCGGTCGACGGATTGAGGTTTGTCGCATTCTTTTTTCAGAAGTCTACCCTACTCAACCTTTTGTTGTCAGTGGTTTTCTGAACTTATGCTGAACGACCCAGATTGGAGAGCTATTTTTGCACCAAATGGTCCGCTTCTTCGAGAAGGGGATATCATCCGACGTGTAAATTTATCCAAAACTCTTTCTGTTATCGCAGAGGAAGGTGCCGACGCGTTTTATAAGGTATCACTTTCGTTTCATTGATTATTACTACCGCTCCATCTCACACTGAAATACTCAAGGGACCAATTGCCGAGTCTATAGTCGCCAAGGTCCAATCCAAAGGAGGCATTTTGAGTCTCTCTGATCTTGAGGCTTATCAAGTTCACGTTCAGAAGGCTCTTGAAGGCACCTATCATGGTAGAAAGATTTACACCACTCATGCTCCCACCTCTGGCCCTGTTCTGTTGCATATGTTCAACCTGCTCGAACAATTCCCCGACTTTATAGAAAAGGGACGAACGGCTCTGAATGTCCATCGTTTTATTGAGAGTCTGAAATGTGCGCTATCAGTTTCTCTTCTGTGACACTGAATCTGACTCCATTGATAGTCGGGTTCGCTGCTAGAACTCGAGTCTGCGATCCTGCTTTTGATGTTGAGAGATCGGCAGGAATAGAAGAAATTCCTACCAAGGAATATGCAGAAGAAATATTCTCAAGAATTACTGATGTAAGTGCAGCTATCATTAGCCTTGCTCAAATTAACTCACGTTGTCTACGAAGGAAACAACACATTCTCCTGATTACTATAACCCAATCTTCGATGTTCCTACGGACCATGGCACTGTAAGTACAGATCATACCTTAGTAAATTGCAGCGTTAAACTCGGCTTTTTTAGAGTCACTCGTCTATTCTTGACAAGGACGGAATGGCTGTTGCCATTACATCGACCGTTAATTTGGTATTTGGCTCCGAAGTGATGGATCCTGTGACTGGAGTTATTCTCAACGACGAGGCGTGTTAATCTTCACATTCTTCTCCACACAAATCGTCTACTTACCTCTAATAATTTCAGATGGATGATTTCTCGATACCTGGGGTACCTAATGCCTTCGGGCTCTATCCTTCACCATGCAAGTAGATTGTACTTCCCCTGATTTTATTCTTTAAATGACTAATTGTTAATTCACAGACAACTACCCCGAGCCATTTAAACGTCCTTTATCTTCTACAACCCCAACTATCATAGAAGATGAGAACGGCGAAGTTCTCTTGGTGATAGGCGGATCTGGAGGTTCTCGGATCTTTGGTTCAGTCTTCCAAGTTATCCTCAACTTGGATTGGGGTCTCGATGTTTCAAGTGCCATTGAATATGGGCGTTTACATGATCAACTCTATCCACTGCTAGTTGACGTTGATGATGTTTATCCTGTGGATATTCTTGATGAACTGAGAGCGAGAAGTCACAATATAACTGGTGTGTTCTTTGCTCTGTTCATTCATTACTGAACTCCTAACTCACCATTTTGTTATGCTTCGTTCATCCAGTTTCGGATATTAACCGTGTAGCTGCTGTTGTACAAGCGATACATAAACAGGGCGATGTGATATATGGTGCGTTTTCTACATCTATATTTAAACTGTTTTCCGTACTCAAGTGCCATATTCCTTCGACGTACGACAGCTGCTAGCGACTCCAGGAAGAATGGCATAGCTGCGGGATATTAGTGGATAAATTCTATCTTGTATACTAAATATAGCCTTCATTTATAGATCATACCTTTCATTTTGACGGATCAATCAGGCCCGCTCAAAATCATACTTGCACTTCGTTCCGTGGAATCCTCTTGGTAATTGGTGAGGTCAACCTCTAGATCGAAACTGTCGACTTTTCTATCACGAGTGCGATGGAAATTCAGCTTCATGGACATATTATTTTGACACCTCATGATTGTCTTCCCGATTCTTCGCATACTTCTCCTTGTGATATTCTTATAAGCACGAGATCAAATTGGCTCATGCATGTCGTTCGGGTTTACTCTGGAGCTCAGACAAGTGCGAGGATATAGCGACAACATGACTCTCAATACCAATCGAAGTCTTATGGTCATTCCGACGACACGAAACAACGGTCTTCTCCATCTATATAAGCAGACTGCTGAGAGGTTGAAATAACCAAGCAAAGTCGTCCAGATTTGACAACTGCAAAAATGTTTCGCATTGACCTGTTGGTCGCAGTCACACTCGCTCTTCTATCGCATGTTCATGCTCAGCAACCTGAATGGGGACAGGTGCGTTTCTCTCCCTCTGATTCAGAAGTACATAGACCTCACTAGGATAATGAATTGAATACTAGTGTGGAGGCATAGGTTGGACAGGCGGAACCAGTGAGTGATACGATATGATTACTCTTTGCATGGATAGTCATCTATGTTTGCTTTGTAGCTTGCGTGGCTGACACAGTCTGTACGAAACAGAACGACTATTACTCGCAATGTTTACCTGGTGTCGCGACTACGTCCGCACCTTCCACTACAACAAGTCAACCTGCAACTAGTACTCCACCTTCTACAACCACTGCTCCGACTACCACTGTCTCAGCTCCTGCACCTACAGGATTCGTTGGTGTCTCAGGACAAAATTTCGTCCTAAACGGAGGAATTTATACTGTCGTCGGGTACGGGTTTCAAATCAGCTGTTCATGATGTTTCCATGTCCTGATTCACTTTGCCTATGATGATAGAGCTAACTCGTATTGGGTCGGTCTTATGGGACTCAGTACTGCAAACATGAACGCCTCCTTTGCTGATATCGCAAAGGCTGGTGGAACAACTGTGAGAACTTGGTGGGTGTTATAAGATTTCAATCTCTCATTTCTGAAGAATGTCGCTGAAATTTAAATATGCGAAAAAGGGGATTCAACGAGGTTACAAGTCCTAATGGAGACTATTATCAAAGTTGGTCGAATGGTGTACCAACAGTCAACACTGGTGCTACTGGTTTGCAAAATTTCGGTGTGTCGCTTTATCAGTTCTCAGATAAGAAAAAAGGAGCTGAGGCTCAATAATATGTTCATTTCAAATAGATAATGTCGTGGCTGCTGCAAAAGCAAACGGTATTCGACTCATTGTTGCCTTGTGAGTATTTCACGTTTGGTTTGAGATGATTTGCCACCGTTGGGCTGATGATTTATTCAAGGACAAATAATTGGTCGGACTATGGTGGTATGGACGTATACGTTCAACAGCTTTTAGGTTCATCCGACCATGACTACTTCTACACCAACGCCAATGTTCAAGTGAGTAGAAACATATTCGTAACCTCTAACATATCATGATGGGTACTCGTCTGCTTCAGGCTGCATACCAAAATTACGTCAAGACTTTCGTATCTCGATATGTTAACGAACCTACCATCATGGCTTGGGAACTCTCAAATGAACCTAGATGCAAAGGCAGCACCGGGTAAGATAATCTCAACATTTTCCATCTGACTGTATCTTTCTTACTGAGAGAGATTTTCAGAACATGGACTGGAACGTGTACAACCACAACAGTAACCAACTGGGCTAGTACTATGTCAGCGTTCATCAAGTCCATCGATCCTAACCATCTCGTCGCTATTGGAGACGAAGGCTTCTTCAACGAACCTGGAAACCCGAGTTATCCTTATCAAGGTACCGAAGGGGTAGACTTCACTGCCAATCTTGCCATAAAGACCATCGATTTCGGTACTTTCCACGTAAGCCTTGAGTCGGAAAAATTCCTTTTACTGATACCCTAACTAATGATTTCAAACCTCCTTAATAGGCATACCCTGTAAGTTGTATCGTATGATTACTATGGGCCGCTTCTAATACCATTTACATACATGAAGATCAGCTGGGGTCAGACTTCTGATCCAACTGGATGGGGTGTTCAATGGATTAAGGATCACCAAACAGCACAAGCTGCTGCAAACAAGCCGGTTATATTGGAAGAATTCGGTGTCACGGATAGTCAAGCAACGACTTACACTGCTTGGTATAGCGCTATTGAGAGCTCTGGACTCACCGGGGATTTAATCTGGCAAGCTGGA